AAAAAAGCTTATCAAGATTTTTCACTTACAAGGAAAGTGTCCGAAAAATGTAAAGCATATCCAACCATCAGACATTACGTTACAGCTAAAAGTAGCGTATTTTGCCCCATTTTGCCCCATTTTTATCACTATATCAACTCCAATATCCACCAATTTTTCGGACAGTTGTGAATGCCCTATTGGAAGGTCTTCACCAATTTTCAGAATAATTTCATTCAAGGAACTGAAGATATGACAGAATAATACGACAAAAATCAACGAATTTCGTCAAATTATGCGACTTTTACACTTTGACCTACTTTTGCTCCGAAAGCCGCGCACCATCAAATATGGCAACAAGGCGAAACTCACTGATCAAGTGATCATTTCAAAAAGGTATGACAAATTTGGTATTGTGAAAATTCTCACAGTCTCTAAAAAACAATGGTACAAAAATTTCGAAAATCCGAGCAAGTTTATTTTTTATCGTGCACCCCTGTTAAGGGGCTAGCTCGGATTTTAGCACGTTAAAACTTATTAAAACTACCTACTTCAAGTATTATTTTCCCATGACTACTAGAGATTATTTAATTCTTATATTTCATTAAATTAGGATCGCATTAATTTAACTACGTATAATCGGGCTCCTTTTAACTAGAGTATGGAAATTCAAGTTCCGATGTTACGGTTCTCCCGGTTTGAGACTCACTCAGGGAAGAAGTTCAAGCCCAAACTCTCATTGTACAGATAATTATTAGGACAGTAAATTTATATTGCAATTATGGACTTTAGAATTTTATGTGAATTTATATCTGGAAGATAACCAATTGAAACAGGTAAATAAGGATAGTTATAGAAAACGGAGTTCTCTTGGTATTTAGTGTATGCTAGTCAAGCTCTAGTCACGTAGCACGAACGGCAGGGCGTACCGTATAGTAGAAATGAAACGAGTAACTAAAAAGGAGAATTAAATAAATGGAAAAGTAATACAAAGTGAACGTCAACAGATAAAAACTTCCAAGTGTTCGCTCTAATCGATTAACGTGATTATAGATCACACGACGTGTCAAATCACAACTGGTAGTGCTCAGTAAGACTGGCTACCGTTAATTCGAATCCCTTAAAGTTATTAAGGGGCAACTAAGAAGTGAGCTCTTCACATCCGGCTCTCCGGGTATACTCTCAAAACTCGTCACGCCATACTGCGTGACGGCACAACGCATCTGCTTGTACCACGTGACACGCCGTCTCGCCAATAAGCACTCCACTAGCAGTCACCCTGCGTCCGCGAGGACCAACCACAGGTCTGGCTGTTAGTCAGGTGCAAAGTGAGCGGACGGCTCGTTACAGACAGTTAGTCTGACAGTAGTTCTGCCAGCCAACCGACTTACACTCAAAATGTGTAACTCCCAAATACGAACATATAAAAACATTGGTTAATATATACCCGGAAACACATACTAAATTCTACGTCCCGTAAACGTTATACTAAAACTAAGATATCCTAAAAGATATCTCTGAATACCATATTACAACATCTCTACCCAAAAATTTTTTTCGAATATTTTAAAACAATAAAATAATCGCCCTTTTCAAAATTTAAATTTCAATGCTCCGACGCATCAAAAGTCCAAAACTTAAAAATAAGTCAAGTCTCAAAATATAATACACGGCCCTAACCCTGTGCATTAAATTCAAATCATCAAAATCCTAAAGTTAAAACTGAAATTGACTTCCACAAATCTTTCAAAACTTTCCAAAACCTTCAAATACTTCCCTTTTGCACCAAGTTGTAGAGTCTTTGGTGTTGAGTCTTCATTATTAGATAGAGATGTATCGGAATCTCTAAAACGTCCTTGACAAGCAAACAAAGAAGTCAAAATAAATTCGAAAGTTTCTACGTTTCCGCCACTAAAGCAGCCCTGAGCGAGTCGTGTTGAGAGTAATGATCCTATTATCCCTATCAGTAATGTTCTGAAAGATAACACGTGTTATGCCTAAGTAAGGTACAATACCACTGCTAAGTACTAAGTAGAAAGTCTAGCTAAGTGAGTAAGACTATACTGTACTGAAACTAGATTCCAAAGTAAGTGTACTTCCCTATCCGTGCATCCACCCGTCTTCTACTGGTTGAAGAGTTTTATAAGATCCGTAACTAGTCTAACGTTGTATCCTAGACGATCAGGTTGTCTCCGTTCCTCAGGTCTCCTAGTGTTATATCTGCGCTCCTCCCTCGGAGGGCTCTGTCTTCTTAGATCCACAGGAGAAAGCGATCCTGTTGTGTCAATGTCGTGCCCCACTGTATCATATGACATAGAACTGCTATGACCCATCGTTCCTTCACCAACAACCGGACTCGATGATCTTCTAGCGGCCGATCTCTCTCTAGCTGGAGTGAAGAACTCTGCAGAATTATCAACTGTTTCTACACTATCGCCTGAAGGAATGTTATGTGTGAGAGGTGTTACAGTACTAAAACTAGGATTTGTAGAATTCAGATCTAGTTGAGCAGGTCTATTAACAGCCCTAGGAGTTGAACTAAAACTAGGTTGTTTATAAATGCTATCTGCACCATCCTCCTCCAGACGAAACTTCTTCGGATGAACCTCTCTTCTCCTTGCTACAACTGGTGCTCTTCTCAGTTGAAAATCTATCTCCTCTTCACTATCACTATCGGAATAGACTACATCTCGCCTTGATGAGTCCGTCTTCAACTCAGCTTCACTGCTAACAATTTTCGGCACTGTAGGACTAGTCTCTAGTTTTTTAGAAAATCTGTTCCTGACATACCGTTTTAACTTACCAATGTTAAACACCTTCTTCTCTCCATCAGGCAAATCTAAACAGTACAAGTGATCGTTTATCTTCTTAGAGATCTTATACGGGCCAACCCAACGAGGACCGAACTTGTGCTTTGGACAATTTATCAAAACAAAAGCTTCCTCACCTTCCTCAAAGAATGGTCCCTTAACGTGCTTATCGTGATATCTCTGTGCATAGCAAAAATCACGCTCAGCTTGGACCCTCACCTTCCTGGTGATAAACTTGAGATTTTTGTACAGCTCGTACGCTTCAACATCAAACTCATTCTCCTTCATAGGCTCTAACTCGAAATCCTTACGATTCTCAGCTAGCAGGCTTAACGGTGTGTTTAACTCACGACCAAACACCAATCTGTTGCTAGAATAACCTGTGTGCCGATTCCGCAATGAGTTCAGTACAAAGACTACTCTAGATAACCAAAGATCCCAGTCCTGGTATCGTCCCGGTGGTAAGCTGGTTCTCAGTGCAGTATTCAACCGACGTTTTGCTCTCTCAACTCTTCCAGTTCTACGAGAAACGTACGGTTGGCCATGAATGTACTTGCAATCTAGTGCTTGAGCTATGGTCTCGAAATACTTAGCTCTAAAACCCGGATGATTATCAGCCATCATGAATCTAGGCTGGCCAAAACGATCAATCCAAAACCTTCGAATCAATGACACGCTCTCCTTAGCTGTCTGGGTCTTAGTAGGAATAGCTACCACATAATTTGACCAACAATCGGTTATAGTCAGAATATACTTGTAACCTCTAGGTGTACCACCAACCTTTTCAGGAACTATATGATCGAAACAAATTGCTGAGTTAAAGGAGTGGAATAATATGTGCTTGAGGGGTGCCTTATTGTATGCCTGAGGTGGCTTACTTGCTGCACACCTGCAACATGCTGCGATCCATAACATTCCCCCATTTTCGGCCAGTAGAAATGTCGTTTACAGACCTCAAGACAATTTTCTACTCCAGCATGTGCAGTCTCCTGGTTATGCACCATGTCCAGGACAGATTCATGCAAGGATTCGTGGACTATGATCAACTCTCTACTCCCCTCCGGATC